GTAGCGTCCTTGCTCCTAGTAGCGATGCCCTTTGCTCCTAGTAGCTTGTTGCTTCTAGTGATGCCAGGAACTACTAGAAGCGTGCTTGCTAAGCTCGCTAATTCCTTTAGGGACGATCTATTGATTTGCAAGACACCAAGCAAAACACAACAAGTCAAAAAGTCAGAAACGTCAAAAGGCAAAGGTAAAGGAAACGAAAGCACGCAGCGAGACTTTTGGACTTTTCGATACTTTTCGAGATTTTTGGACAGCAGTCAGGCTGTGCCCTTCAACAAAAGTCTAGCAGAATTGATCCAAACAATGCTTTTGCTCCTACAGCTATAGGTATAGGTTGCTGTTTTCCAGACATCTCCAGCCGTGTCAAAGTGAGTCAGCCTCGAGCAAGAACGCCTTCAAAAAAGAGACGCCCGCCAAAAGGGGGTGATTCTTTGTATCATCGTTGCCTTTTCGCGCACTTTTCGACCTTTCGACTTTCCGCGAAAAGTTGAGAGCAAGTAGATCCAGCTCACACATTTAGCAACCACAGTGCTCCTAGTAGCAATGCCCTTTGCTCCTAGTAGCTTCTTGCTACTACATTTGGTCAAAAGAAACTGACTGTTTCCGCTTTTTCTTCATTTGTTAACTGGCTTGGCCCTTTAGACCTTTCCTCGTTTCCCCTTTGAAGTTTACTTTCTATGTTCTATTCAACTTGAGGCCAAGGGGGCGGGCGAAAGCTAGCGCTCCAGAATGGGAAAGTGGAGGGCAGCGAGGTAGGAAAAAACACGGCGCTCTTTTTGGAGGCCGGGGTGAAGAGTCCTTTATATGTGGCTCTTTGCCCGGATCCTCCTGCGAGAGAAGAGAGAGAAGAGAGACGGAAAGACGAGAGACAGAGAGGAGAGAGAGAGGAGAGAGAGATGAGAAAGAGATGAGAGAGATGAGAAAGAGATGAGAGAGATGAGAAAGAGATGAGAGAGATGAGAAAGAGATGAGAGAGATGAGAAAGAGATGAGAGAGATGAGAAAGAGATGAGAGAGATGAGAAAGAGATGAGAGAGATGAGAAAGAGATGAGAGAGATGAGAAAGAGATGAGAGAGATGAGAGAGAGATGAGAGAGATGAGAGAGATGAGAGAGATGAGAGAGAGAGAGAGACAGTGAGACAGTGAGAGTGAGCGAGTGCGGCCGCAAGATACGCAACGCTAACCGCATGCCAAAGAGCGACGACAGGACGGAGGACGGAGTCGAACTTGCGAAGAGGGAGGAGGGAGGGAGGGAAGGTGGGA